GCCAGCCCTCCTGTCTTGGATGAACGCAAGAACGCCAGTTCATGTGAATTTTTTCGGCCTTGTCTCGTGTCTTTCAAGGTCATGGGGTGGTGAATGCAGGTGTTCATGCCAGTAGATGATTCATTGCTAGTAATTGGAATTGCAAAAAGAACATCTCTGCACATATCTGCACTCCTTTCGTCACACAAACACCTGATCAACACATGCCCAGCTCATCCATGGGTCCTGGCTTCCAAAACCTGATTCGGTTATTTCTTTGCGCCATGGCACTTTTGGCTTGTGGCCTTGTGCCCAATCAGTCGACAGTCTGACAGGAGCCCGTTGCCTTGGGACGCGGAAAAGAACAACTCACCACGAGCCAAGCGGCAAAAACAAAGATGTGCATACACCTCACCAGCCAAAGCTCAACTCGCCAAGCTTATCACTCATCCACGTGCCTCCAGGCGGGGTGCTCGTGGTCAAGAGGGCCCTGTGCTGGTTAAGCGGTGTTGCTCGGGCTACGGGGTTCCCGTGAGGCGGTAAGAACGGTAAAAAGTGATGTTTTGTTCACCGTTTTTCTTTGCGAAATGGTGCGAGCGGGTACCCCTTCCAACGGCTTAGGTCTCACATGGTCTCACCGTCACCAAAGGGCGTCTCACCGGGCCCCAGCAAGCAACCTGCCGGCCCCAGCAACACATTCATGGGTCTTTTGAGAGGTCTGGACTCCTGTTCCAAAGTTGGAGTGCATCCCAAACCTCTCAGCATCGTGCAAATCGCACCCTACAGCGCTCGGGTCTAGGTCGCTTACAGGTCTCGGCCGCCTGAACCCGCCACAAACCGCCACCTCAGCCGCCCTCCGTTCGGCACCCCCCCGCCTGCCAGACAGAGCCGAAGATCCAGCCTTAGACAAGCGAAGTCTTCGCCGTCAGCATCCGGCCGCGAAAGACGATGCATTCAAGAACTGCTTTGTCCTGGAAGAACCCTGATAGTCGTCTTGAACATGTTGTTCAATGTGAGTCTTGCTATCCAACGCCGAGGACCAACACTTCACACACTGAGCGATATATGCCTGGATCTTCGAAAGAGCATAAATCATCGTCCTTTTTCATGAAAAAATGCCATTACGGCGTCTTGTTCCCAAAGCCGGCGTTTTTGTTGTGACCAGGCGGAAAACGGTAGAAACCAAAAGAAACAGCGTTTTTTAGACTTCCAAAGGTGTCCAAACGGTGTCTTTCCCCGTCCATGGATTTTGAGCACATGTTTGCAACCCCTAAAACTGTACTTCATGTTGATATGGCGTCTTTTCACTGAAAAATGTATCCGGCAAACATTTAGTACCGTTTGAAGATCCAGGTATATATTGGAGGGTAAGGGATCAAAAAATAAAAATAGAATCAAAAAAATATTCAACGGGGATCAAAATAAAAAAAAATGTAAGGGAATCAAAAGAAATATTCCAGCCCACTGAGGATGGTTGGGGTTGAGCATCGGCTCAAAAGCCTTCAACAGAAACACATCGGACCAGGCTACTTGCAGCCTTGTTATAGCATTCACTGCGCAGAGGTGTTGGAAGCTAAGGTCGGCCCTATCATCCACCTGTGTGGCATTGCCACAGTGTTTAGAGCATAGAAGAATGGAGAGACAGCAGCAGCCACCTCAAAGGACCAAAGACAAGGACCAACACGCCAACACTCCAAAAAATGTGCCAAACAATGGCATGCGCAAGTCTCCAGCACCCCCCCAAACAGATGGCCAATCAGGAACAAGCAGCAAAGACACTGAATTGAAAGCATTCAAAAGTTAGATGGCTCGGTTTGGCTCCGCAAGTGCCCTGCGTGGAAGCGATCTACGTTGACAAAAGGAAGCGCTTCACACCTGCTTCAAGATCAACAGGAGCAAACAATGAAAGGATATGTTCACAAGTTATCAAAGAGACTTAGACGACATGCAATATGTGATCTGCAAAGTGCGATGGGCGACCCTTTAAATAGTTAGTTTTTGTGGCAGGCGGAGTGCAAGAGTGCAGATTTCGTGGTGCTGGAGGGGGGGTGGGGGGGGAGGGCGCAGCGCCTCCCCCCAAAGCGAACCAAATGTTAAAACAGAGCACCACAAAAGAAATCCCTAGAAACTATGTACCCTATCGTCCTTTCAGTGAAGGGCATCTAAAATGCACAAAAGGACCTATGGCAACCGAAGCCAAAAGCATCGTACGTTTGCAGGAAAACTGCGGCCAATAAGCTACAAGAGAAAGGACCAAAGGCATCAAAAAGCATCAGTGAAAGAACACGGAGAAAACCATAGGAAACCCGCAGACCAGAGAACCAGGAGGGCAAAGGACCAGGAGACCACGGGACCGGACCAGGACCAAAGGACCAGGGGGCCAAAGGGCCTGTGGACCAGAGGACTAAAGGACCAGAAGACCAGAGGACCTGCAGACCACAGGGCCAGGAGAGCAGCAGAAGAGGCCTATCCAGGAATATTTTTTGTTGATCCTCTTGTTATTTTTTTGTTGATGCTCTTTTTGTCTTTTTTTGATCTAGATGCCTATATTGGAAGGCTGGAGGTACTGCCAAGCTAGGGCTGAAGGCCCAAAGCCGCCAAGTTGAATAGATAGGTGTGTTTTGCCTTCGCTGGACAAATCTTCAAAATGCCAGCACCCCTTCGTCTTGTTTTCAGTTTTCGGCCACACTGAACGGGTGCAATGCAAAGTGTGACAATTAAGACACCAGTGACCTTAAGCCATGAAGACAAACTGCGTGTCACTGTCGATTCTGCGTAGACTGTAAAACCCCAGTTCTCGCGCTGCCTGACGTCGTTTTTTCAAACGTGTCCTCTGTTCCTAGTAGCGTTCTTGCTCCTAGTAGTAAGGCCAGGAGCCCCGATCGTAGCGTTCTTGCTCGTACCTTGGAGTGTCATCCGCCCAGTTCTCGGGCCCTTCGCACCGCTCCCTCGAGTTCTCCAGCTTCAGTCGGTTCGAAGATGTAAAAGTTTCAGATGAAAAGCTGATAAGTTTTCAACCAGTGTTCGCAGAAAGGGACCGCTTCGCTTCACATCTCTTTTTCGCGATCCCAAACATCGAAGGGTACATCCGATGCTTTTCGGGCGAAACAAGGGCACGTGAGAATTGGCGGTTCAAACATGGAGCATCCTACATGTCAGAAACACATTGTATAAGACTGACTAACTAGCAGTTTTTCAAGGTGTCTTTGAGTGTCTTTGTTCTCCAACCTCTCCGAACACGTGGATCCCAGCCCTAACACCCTCGATCGATCGACGGTGACTGGGACCCCCGACTACTCCTCGCTGCGGCCGCGGCGTCGGAGGCAGGCCCCTCGGGCCGAAGATCCTCCGCACCGCCACCGTTGCGTCGGCGGGGCCCCCCCGGGGGGGGGGGGGCGAGGAGAACAGTCGCTGTTTCTCTCTCGAAGAAGACGATGGAGAGAAGATGGAGAGAAGTCTCTTTGACGACAGAAAAGACAAAAATGGAGACAGAGATCGCCTTTTCAGGCGATGTCTCTTGTTCGTCATCCAGTTCATGGTGGACAAATCCGGTCGCGACGGCTGAGACCGGTCACCGCCTTCGCAGGTGCTCTTCCTCGGTCACCGCTTCTGGCGACCTTGGTGAAGGCCTGGGACGGGGGAAAACGGAGAAGCCACGCGGACGGAGAAGCACTGCATCTGAGAGTCCCAAAATGAATGACCGTTATTGACAGTGCCCTTCAGACAGCAAAGGAGAGCAAATCGCTTGTAAGTGTTGAACAATGGAAGATGGATCCAGAATCCAGAACTAAAAACATACTCCTTTTGTATCCTTTTGTGGGGACGAGTAGGGGAAGCATCTTGCGAAGCAAGGAGAGTTAGGCGTAAGCCTTTGTTTGCGACATCACCATAGCAAGCTCCCATCAGCCGCTAATAGTTCTTTACATCCCACAGCCCCTTCCAGATCTGTTTTTCATTTATGGTACACCATCTCATATTCTCTCACCTCGAATGCTCTTGAATCCAAGAACGCCGATGAATATCACAACCTGGAAGCCTTTGGAACGTTGCTTCGCTCCGTGTAGCGATGCCCCGCGTCTCCCGCATCGCCACGCGAACTAACAGTTCCCGCGGCAACTGTTTCGGCCAATCCTCAGCGATAGTTAGAACCTGAATGACCTCTATTTGGGAGTCACCAACCACCCAGAATATATGCTTTTTTTCCCAGTAAAAACAGAAATGGACTCTGGGTAGAGACGGACTCCCAGAACTTGTCCTAAGATGTCCGGCTAATTGGTCATTGCTTCTAGGTTGGAGGCCATTGCTATTAGGGAGGCCATGCTGGTATACGGGAAAAAATCGGATGTGTGGAGTCTTCGCCAACCTGACAGTGCTTTCGAGGGGCATGGAGGCACCCGACAAGGCCACTTGAGAGCCTGTGCAGACATCGAAGAATTTCACCCCGGGAGTGGGTTGTGGACCACCTGTAACAGTCCAAATTTTTGTCAACTCAATGCCAAGTTGAAACCAAGGAACCTATGACCTGCAGGGTGCCAAAAAAAGAACGCGTCCTTTTCGGGTCCTATCTCAATACATCCACGTGTGTTCACGTTCTTGGTTGATTGTAACAGAAGAACCAACGAGTCGGAATGTCATCCAGTTGAACACGCCGAGGCATCCGAAATGATGTTGAGTCTCAGCAATGTTTGATGCAATATTTTTTTTGGAATCTGAAGTGATCACACCAACCACATGCGAGGACAACCAGTTCACCTGGTCGAACAGTTGGTCCCTCCAAAACTCCAGAAATTTGACCCATTATGGTTCATCTTTTGGAACGTGGGGCACGAGTCCGGCACAAGTGGCAGGGGTAACCCCGAAATCCATCCTTGGGATGGTGGCGGCGTGATTTGGACAGCAAGCACCGGCGCCAGGTTCCGCGGACCAAACAATACACGTCCCTGAATTCATATAAAAGACAGTAACCCGCGGTGGAGTTCACTACCTCTTTGGCATTCAGATTTCATGGTCGAACTCGGGGTCATGGCATCCACTTCGATCACTTCAGGGAGTGTAGCCACCCAAGGACAATTAGAAACAGACAGAGGCGCATTCCAAAGCCGTCTCAAGTTTGACCGTTCCGATGGCCTCCAACCTACTAGCGCTCGCCTCCGACCCAATAGCGATGGCCTCCAACCTAATGGCAATGGCCTCCCACCTAATAGCAATGGCCTCCCACCTAATAGCAAT